CCACCCCCCCTCCCTCACCCCTTCCTGTTGCTCGCCGCCTCCAGGTCTCCCGTCCAAGCCCTCTTCATGGCATCCAGCGCCAAGGGGGGAAAGGCCGGGGACCGCCGGGGCGATTCCAACTTGGAGGCCAAATAACCCTGCGTGTGATGTGTGCGTGTTTTGGGGGTAGTGGCCATCGCGAAGGGCGACCGGAGAGGGTCATTGGGATGAGAGAGGTTGGGTTGCCCCAACCCAACACGGGAGTCAAAGTGCACCTGAAAGCACGAGGCCGCGTCCGACAGGCGGCTGTGCGGAGGGGGTGGTAATGATGATGTCTCGGGTGGGTGGGCGGGTGGGTGGAAGGATCGAGTAATCGTGACAGCTGTGTGTGCGGTGTACGCACGGGAGGCCAGAGTCACGTCTACTAAGCCGTGTGATTTTTTTGTGTACGGCACAAGGGTAAAGGCGGGGGGGCTGGCGCCGGGGAGAAAGAGAAAACGTAGCCCCCCACCTCCCTTCCCCTCTTCTTGCGGGCCCCCTTTCCCCCCCCACCCCACCCCGCCCCGCACGACTCGCGACTCGCCTGGAACACCGTCCTCAACAGCGGCTCAGGTATCGCCGCACCCTCGCGCTCCCAGGCCGCCGCCAGCCGCCCCTCCAGCAGCCCGAACAGCGGCCTCTCCACCTCCCCCAGCAGCGCTAGACCCCAGTACATGTGCGCTAGCTCGACAACACTGATGGCGCTACTGCTGCCAATACCACCACCACCGCTGTTGCCGCTGCTGCTGGTGAACCCTGCGCGTGCCTTCTGCCGCCGCCACTGCTGATGAGGCGGCTGCACCGCCGCCGACCCCGGCCCCGGCTGCGCTGCTACTCCTGCCCCTGCCGTCCCTGCCGCCTCCGCCGTCTCCGCCTCCGGCCGTACGAGCTCCGCCGCCGCCGCCTCCAGTCTTTCCATAACCTTAACTCCCGGAGAGACGTTGAAGGTGGCCAGGGCGTACAACAAGGTGGCGAGGTCAGCAGCACGGATCTGACCCGGCCCAGATCCAAATCCGGATCCGGATCCATTCCGCTCATGTTCTGCTGATGGTGGTGATGATCTGTGCAAGAGGCTCTTAGCGAAGAGGACGAAGTTGGCCTCCGGGTGGTGCCGGAAGGCGGTCAGGGCCCAGAGCAGGTTGGCGACCTCTTGGGGCTTGTACGACAGGGGTGCGGACGAGAAGGCGGACAGCGCCGCCGCCACCGCGGGCGGGTGGTAGGTGTCCAGTCGACCTAGGGCCCACATGCTGTTGGCTACACCCTGCGGAGGGAGAGAGGTGGGCGGAGGGGTTGGGGGGTGGGGAGGGAAAGACGAACCACACGCGATTGAAGCTGCTGCCAGGGCAAGATAGTAGCAACAGAAAGAACTGACCGAAAGGCGTCCGTGGCGACTGTGACGACTGTAACCTCGGGATGACGACTGTAACCTCGGGATGAAGAATTGGCGTAGATGTTGGAAGTCCTACCTACCTAAGCCGCCAGAAAAAAGGCTGAATAGTATAGCCAAACCGTAAACTAGTAGGTGTAGAAAAAGTAGTAAAGGCGGCGAGAAAAATAGTGCTGACGTAAAAGAGGCGTAAAGTTGCTGGCCAGGAGAGAAAGCTGCATTGCTGATACTGAAAGGCTGCCGGTATGCAAGTGCTCCTCCCGACCCCCCAAAAAAAACTAGAACGCGCGACTGACCCGACCGACCCAAACTAAACTATTCCGGCTATCCTACCGACGCCAACGCGAAATACCAAAGGAGCTCGAACCACCTTTTGGACTCACCTGGCCAGGCCGCCGAAGTAGTGGCAAAAGGCACATGCAAAAACAAAAGGGTAACAAAGATGTGAGGCGGGTCCGATAAAGGACAGGGGGACATGCAAATGCTGCTGAGGAATACTAGTAGCTGGCTGGCTGATGGGGTGGGGAGGGGGGTGAGGGGGAGGGGGGGGCCCGAGGTTTGGGGGTAGCTGCAAGTGAGGCGCCAGTGACCCGCCGGTATGGGTAGGGGAAAGACGAACCACACACGATTGAAGCTGCTGCCAGGGCAAGAGAGTAGCAAACGTAAAAACTGACCGAAAGGCGTCCGTGGCGACTGTGACGACTGTGACCTCGGGATGACGAAGTGACGTTGATGTCGGAAACCCTACCTACCTAAGCCGCCAGAATTAAAAAGCTGAATAGTATAGCCAAACCGTAAAGAAGTAGGTGTAAAAACTGTAGTAGTGAAGGCGGCGAGTAAAATAGTGCTGTCGTAAAGGTGACCTAAAGTTGCTGGCCAGGAGAAAAGGCTGATTTGCTGATACTGAAAGGCTGTCGGTATGCAAGTGCTCCTCCCAACCCCCAAAAAAAACTAAAACGCGCGACTGACCCGACCGACCCGACTAATCTATTCCGGCTAGCCTACCGACGCCAACGCGATAAACCAAAGTATGGGTAGGGGGGGTCGTGTTGAGGTGGTGTATGTAAATGGCCAGTGTAATCCGTAGTAAATCAGAGTATCATTCGTACAGTCTAATGATCCCGTCGTATTATTGTCTCGCCGTGCGGACCCCTGCCGCCATCGCCATCAGCAGCAACAAGGCCCTCGTCGCGACCACATCCTCCTCTTCCCGACCACCACCTAGAGGCCACAACCGTACCCGCTTTTCCCCCCTCCTCCCCCGCTCCCCCCCTCCCTGGTCAGTCCTGCTACCGTCCTGTACATCGGCCGCAACACTCTTTCCTCTTTCCTTGGCAGCAGGTTCACTCGCTCGTGGTTCGTCTTTCCTCCCTCCCTACCCCCCCCTCCCTACCCCCTACCCCACCTGGGGGACCAGCGAGGCCATCACCCCGGGGGCCGCAAGTCTCTGCGCGGCCGCCTGGGCCAACAGCGGGTTCTTGTAGCCCAGCAGCGCCATGGAGTGCAGCAGGGTGGGGATGCTGCGAGCATCGAACTCCTGACCGGACAGGAAACCCTGCAGGGGGGCCATGCATGTATGTTGTTACAGGGTGGTTAACTT